GAGGGGTAACTGGTGTGTACCTGTGTCCGTAGGGGTGATGTGGGCACCTGGCAGGCTTGGAGGTAACATGGGGGCCAGTTCCCCTGTTCACGTTTCTCTCAAGGTGCTGAGCATGGAGAAGGAGCAGGACCCACAGCTGTGCTGGTGACATGGAAAGACAGAGGCTTGGCTGTGTTTGATGGGGTTTGTTTTGTTCATAGTTCTGTCGTCACCACAATTTGGAGGACTAGAGATGGTGATCAGGACACAGCACGATGGTGTGCGAGATAGGTCTTACAAGGACTCATGGCTTGGGGTCTCACCAGCTGTGTGGTGAGTACCCATCTTGGTGCTCCCCATTGTGTGTCTCCTTCTCTGCACTCTGGTCCTGTGTTTGCACCTGTACCAGCGAGCGTGGGAACAGGTTAAATTGAGGGCTTCTGTATCCTTCCTAACTGGTATTTCTTCTGGCATACACAGAGAAGTATGTTGGAGAACTAGTTTTAGTTTTAAGAATCATACAATCATAGAATGGTTTGGGTTGGAAAGGACCTTAAGATCATCTAGCTCCAACCCCCCTGCCATCAGCTGGGACACCACACACTAAACTATATCGCCCAAGGCTCTGTCCAGCCTGGCCTTGAACACGACCAGGGTTGGAGCATTCACAACTGCCTTGGGCAACCCATTCCAGTGCCTCACCACCCTCACTGTGAAGAACTTCTTCCTTATATCTAACCTAAACTTCCCCTGTTTAAGTTTAAAGCCATTACCCCTTGTTCTACCACTACAGTCCCTAATGAAGAGTCCCTCCCCAGCATCCTTGTAGGCCCCCTTCAGATACTGGAAGGCTGCTATGAGGTCTCCATGCAGCCTTCTCTTCTCCAGGCTGAACAGCCCCAACTTTCTCAGCCTGTCTTCATACAGGAGGTGCTCCAGTCCTCTTTTCATCCTCGTGGCCCTCCTCTGGACTTGCTCCAACAGCTCCATGTCCTTTTTATGTTGAGGACACCAGAACTGTACACAATACTCCAAGTGAGGCCTCACAAGAGCAGACTAGAGGGGCAGGATCGCCTGCTTTCACCTGTTGGTCACGCTTCTTTTGATGAAGAAGATGAATGTAGGCTGTTTAGCTAGTAAATTAAACTTTTTTTTTTTTTTGGGGGGGGTGGGGCGGTGGTCCAAAACAAAGCAAAATTGCCCCGCTGAAGACTTCATGTAAGTGTTGGAAAAGAGCAAACTTTACACTTTCTGACCTTTCTAAATAGTTTCTTTCAATATGTCTGGTGTGCTATAGCAGAAACCTAACAGAAATACTGCATTGTGCCAACATGTTTGCCCCTTAGATGTAATGACTGAGTTTCGTTTTTAGTGTCTGCTTCTAACTAGAGCTTATTTAAATGTAGAGCACTCCTGAGTCAGCCTGTATCAGGGAGGCACAGGCAGCACTGGAGTTGGCCTATGGGTGGTAGGGGCTGTTCTTCCTTCCCCACTATCCCTGCAGTAACACAGTACTGAGCGACCAGGACAGGCTGCTAACTGAGATTGTGCCTCCAGAATGGCTGTTTAAAGTTTTAATAAGCATGTACTTGGGTAGTCATGCTCTGTGAACTGAATACTGCTTATTCTGGGGTGTTTTTCCCAGTTCCTAAGTAATTTCCCCCTGTTTCTACCCCCTTTTTTAACTTCTCTTTTTTAAGCAAGTGTTAGCACTACTGTGTGTCACTTAAGGCATTACCAAACGTGTTTTTTCCTGTTGTTGTTTCTGCTCTGAGCCCCCATATGAGAACGTGCAATAAATTAGCCCCAAGCTGCTGATTCTTATTTGAATGATATAAGGTTTTGTTTCTTTTCCCCTCCTCTGTGTTTAGTTTAGTCTTTGGGAGCTTGGTGAGGCCACCATGTGCTAGTGGTGTGTTAAGCTACTGCTGCTCTGTGGTTTTAATGCTCCCTTCTGTATGCTTGAGTAGGCAAGTGGTAGGCAATGTTAGCAGCAATGAATTTTGGAAGGTCATGTCTTTAGACCTGTAAAGATTAAATGTGCTCAGCTCACTTTACCTACCACTGGTGCACTTAGCTCCTGTGGGACTGCTGAGCTCCTTTGGTTACTATTCTGAGGCTTAAGGAAGGAAAGACTATAGGGAGTACCCAGAAAGAGGGATTTAGTTAGCAAACGTGGCCTAGGTGTCTCAGAACAAATAGAGAGAGTTCTCTGGTTTTCATATGGTGCTGTTTGGCTTTTCTACATTTCAGGATTTTCCTGAGCATCACAGCATGGTGCTCCCCGTGAGAGTTCCAAAAGCAGGAACACACTGAAATATTTTTCAATGACTCGAGAGAAATCTTGGAGAAGAACAGGGAATTGGTGTGATGTTTGAGATCTGTGCTGGGAAACTGCTTGGTGCTGTCTTAAACTTCCTCAGGTTCTCCACTGAGGTTATTTAGAAGTCACTATTTGTGAAACAGAATATAAATCTACTTTTTACATAAATGGGAAATATACCTGATAGCAAGTGGTTATTTAGACTGAGGTGAAGAATGGTTGTGTATAAACCAGACAATATTTCAGCATAATTTTTGCAGTATTTATGTCAAGCAGATAACTATAACAACTATTACAGTGTTTAAATCAGTGTTCACTGCATCCACGTGAAATCTAGAAGTCGTGCAACTAGAGGAAAGCCTGTGTTTGTTTTCCTGTGGGTAACTTGATGCTCAGGTAAAACCAAACAACTTATGAAGTTTGGATTTTCTATGTAGTTATTTTTAATTGACAGGCAGGATTTTACAGGTGAAACATAAAGGCATGGAGGAAAGCTGTGGTGCTGACAGCCCTACTTTCAATTTCAAACTGATTCCCCTTTTCTCTGTTTTGTGAGATACCTTTGATGTGGATCAGTAGCAGAGAGTGTACTGATGTTTGAATTAATAGTCACTGGCATTTGGATTGCTGAGGCTTATGTTGCTGCTGTTACTCTAATGCTTGCTGCGTAAAGCACTGTGTTTTGCTCCGCTCATTTTTATGTTGTTATTTGGTCTTTTATGCTGTGTTCATCAGTTCAACATTGAGTCATAGAATCACAGAATAGTTTGGGTTGGAAAGGACCTTAAGACAATCTAGTTCCAACCCCCCTGCCATGAGCAGGGACACCTCACACTAGACCATGTCACCCAAGGCTCTGTCAAACCTGGCCTTGAACACTACCAGGGTTGGAGCATTCACCACTTCTTTGGGCAACCCATTCCAGTGCCTCCCACCCTCACTGTAAAGAACTTCTTCCTTATATCTGAGGAATATATGAAACTCCTCATCCTGCACTTCCCCTGTTTAAGTTTAAACCTTGTCCTATCACTACAGTCCCTGATGAAGAGTCGCTCTCCAGCATCCATGTAACACTGATGGTGTTTTTGCAGGAGTGAGGTTTAGGTCTTAATGTTAGCACCTCACGAGCTTTCCTTTGGTTTTAAATCCACATATTCTAATTAGAGTGATGTGGCTGCTAAACGTAAACCAGTGTGTTTAAAAACCTCTTCAGAATATTGTTATTGATATATTCTTAATTAGGGATTAGTGTTTTCATTGGCTTTCTGTGGTAGCAATAGTTCTTGCACAAATGCAGTTATTCCAAGAAAAACAATAATATGTTGTGTAGGAAAATGTTATAAACACAAACCAAAAAGCATTCATAGAACTGTGCTTAGAAACAGTGATTGGCACATTCAGGGTATTTAAGGTCTGAATTTTCCTGCCCACAGTGAATCACTTAATTTATAACAGGAAATCAGCTTTGAGTAGGCTTTAAATAACTTAGAAATTTTCTTATATTTTTCTCCTGCATTACTCTTCTTCCTCATAATGTATTTGGGGCTGTTGTTTAATTTCCTATGAGATAGTTACATAAATATTTATGTATTTTAACTTAGGTTACAATATGCTCCCAGTAATTTGTATTTGCAGAAGCTTAAGGAAACCCCACCAAGATCAGCAAGTGCTCAGTTGACATATTAGTCAAGTAAAGGCATTGTGGAAAGCTGCAGGAGCATCGCATCTGCCTGCAGCTTGCTTCTCTCTTAGGTTACCTTCAAATCCTGTTGCCAAGGTGTTTAGTGGTGGGTGCATGGAGAGAAATCACTCTTGCATGATAAAAATAAGCATTCATATTTTATTTAATTCATATACACGAATCGGAAGGCTTAGGCCAGGTAGCCAGGTTCGTGTTCAACCATAACAGCAGTATGTGAAGTGCTGTGGTCCTTTTGCTTACAAGAGCCCTGTTAGAAACATCCAAAGCACAGTAAATGTTTGGAGATTTGGTGTAGCCCACTGGGAAATGCATGGTCTCCTCAGGCTGATCTAGCAGCACATTGCTGCTCAGAGACAGAGGCACCTTCCTGGCTGTAGTCTGCTGCTGCTTTTCTTATGCTGGTACCACTAATCAAGTGTAGCATAAAGTCATCCAGATGTGTCTGCTGGTGAGGTTCGGTCTATGCATGGAAGGATAGGAAAGATGAATTGAAGGTAGTAGAAAAGAGGGGTTGGGACTGCACAGCCAGGAGGAGAGAGCATGTCCTCTGCCCCAGCCAGAGGCAGTGAGCTATTAAGCTAGATGGGTGGATGCAGAACTATGGTGTGGTCCTGGGTGTGCTTTATCACCTTTAGCCACCTTAGTACAGTGTCTTGTGTGCTGTAAGTGTAACCTGTAGTTAAGGAGGTGGCTGTTTTCCAACTGACTGTGTATTACCTTCTCACAATAAACAAGAGACAGTATAAGTAAGTGGAAAACAAGTGGATATCAGAAACTAGGGTGGAAAACACATTTTCTTTCTGATACTATTTTTAGTGGAGGGGAGTTGGATGTAAAAATGACACAGCCTAAGGCTGTAGGGAAGGAAATACAGCTTTATTACAGTATTAGTCCCCTGCAGCAGTATTTCTACACATCGTCTAACCAGATTCTACTTTTCTGTTGTTGTGACACAGAAAGAAGTGTGCTGAGTAACAGCTTTGTTTTGTTTTCCAGGATGATCTGCACGAAACCCACAACTCTGTGTCAGCCACAGATGGGCTCTCTGCAACTTCATTTATAGAATACCCAAAGCACAAGCCATTTATTAATTCAGATCTGCTGCGTTCCCCACGGAAACCAGTAATTCCGTATCCTGAAAGCAACAGCAGAGGTAACAGTTCAGCAAAGCTGTTTTCTTGCCTGTTTTCATATCATGTGGTGAAATACTGTGTGCCCTTGTCTACAAAGGTTGCGGTCTTTTATCCTTTTATCACCTCCCAGTGGTGTGCAGGTCACCTGTTTTGTAGGCCCTTTGTGCTTCTTTTTGAAGAATACCTGATCAAAAAGGTCACAGAGCTGGAGAAAGATGTTCTTCTTCAGTAGAGAGCTGTATAGTTGGCCAGGTAGTTTGTGTAGTAGTCCTGACGTGTTTTCTTTGTCCCTTCTTTAGCCTTCCTCTCCCGAGATCGCAGCTGAGTTGGAAATAAGGAAACGTTAGTCCCCATAATGGTTCAGAGCAAAGGAGGAGGCTTGGCCCTTTTGAAATGGGAAGGCTTGTGATGGACAAAGGATGTGGCAAGAATATTTATGATGTCAGCGAAGATTTAGGACATACAGAGAGGAATTCAGCACAGAACTGAGGGGTCACAACACCAAAAAAGGAAGTGGTTTTATTCCCACTCGCTCTTCCTTGTTTCTAGGCTTCTCCTTCTCCCTCCTTTCCCACTCTGCTCCTGGTATTCATTTCTCTGTTTTGCCTGACCTGACATGAACAAAACCATTCTAGGTTAGTTTTCTGCAGTTTGAGTGAATTGGCTTGTCATGCAGTGAGGCATCCTCCAGAGCTGCCTGGGGTAAGGCCAGGAGGCAGCATGGGAAGTTGGGAGGATAGAGCAGGTCTGATCCTTTGGTGTGAGCTGTTTGGCTCAGGATCACTGCAAAAATAGTGCTTTTGGGACTGGAGTTGCATGGAGGCTGAAGGGTGTGAGAAACTTGATATTTTTATCCTTATAAGAAAAAATGTAAGAAAGAATCATAAAATGGTTTGGGTTGGAAAGGACCTTAAGATCATCTAGTTCCAAGCCCCTGCCATAGGCAGGGACACCTTCCACTAGACCAGGTTGCTCAAAGCCCGATCCAGCCTGGCCTTGAACACCACCAGGGTTGGAGCATTCACAACTTCCTTGGGCAACCTATTCCAGTGCCTCACCACCCTCACTGTAAAGAACTTCTTCCTTATATCTAACCTAAACTTCCCCTGTTTAAGTTTAAACCCATTACCTCTTGTCTTGTCGCTACAGTCCCTGATGAAGAGTCCCTCTTCAGCATCCTTGTCCCCTTCAGATATTGGAAGGCTGCTATGAGGTGCCCACCAATAAAGAATCATATTGGAAAATCCTGAAGTTCAGTATACTAATTTCTCCTTATTTTGGTTATATTTCTTTGGGGGGTGTGTGTGTCTCAGCATACATTACCTGGTTTTAATACTCTAATAAGGATGACTGAATGTTACTTGGCATCCTGTTGGGTTTCCCTTTTATCCTTTGCTTGAATTGCTTCATTGCAGTGTTTTGTTAGATGTTATTGTAAATACACAGATTTCAGTTTAGCTCCAAGTATAATAGTAACAAAGCTTTTTACGGTTTCAGCTATGCCAATTTCGACTGAATCCTGGTAACAGTAATATAGATAAAGAATAGGGTAAAGTTGGTGACTCATTTTGCCAGCAGGGCCAAGTTACTTATAACTTTCCCCTTAACTGACTGCTGTCACCCATTTATTACTAAGCAAGTAGTCTGTTGATGTGATACTCTAAGTTACTATTCTGCATTTCAAGATTTGGTGAGGTTTTATTCTGGAAAACTCACTCTGATAATTATTTTTCCTTTATTTTTTCAATCTGATGCTCTAACAAACACATGTTCCCAACTTTTCTTGTGTTCACATGTTCTGTAATAAAGGTGAAATCTCTTTAGTGGGTTTGAGCACAAAGGAGTGAGCTAATGTGACCAGATTAGTCTGCTGTATGAGCTGTCTGTACAGATGTTCCTGTGTTTCACTTTACCAGTGTCGTGGTTCAAGCCCAACTGGCAACTTGGAACCATATGCAGCTGCTCACTCACTCCCTCCCCTCTTCCTTCCTCCCTCCGCTCCTGGAGGGATGGGGAGGAGAATCTGAGGAATGTAACTCCCACGGGTTGAGATAACAGCACTCCAGTAACTAAGGTATAATACAAACCACTACTGCTACCAATAATAATGCTAAGAGGAATAACAAGGGAAAAGGACACAACCGCTCACCACCCGCCGACCGATACCCAGCCCGACCCGAGCAGCGATCTGGGCCTTCCGGGTAACTCTCCCCAGTCTATATGCTGGGCATGACGTGCTGTGGTATGGAATCCCCCTTTGGCCAGTTTGGGTCAGGTGTCCTGCCTCTGCTTCCTCCCGGCTTCCCCTCCTCCCTGGGCGAGCATGAGACTGAGAAAGTCCTTGGTCAGAGTAAACATTACTGCGCAACAACTAAAAACATCGGTGTTATCAGCGTTGTTCCCAGACTGAAAGTCAAAAACACAGCACTGCACCAGCTACTAAGAAGGAGAAAAATTACTGCTATAGCTGAACCCAGGACAACCAGAACCGTGTAGGGGAAAGGGCTTATGGTGATGGTTACTTTGCAGAATTAAACAATACAGCTAAGGGACATAATACATCAGATTACCAGCAGGTGGTCTAATTGCAGGGTGATGTCAGCTTTATTACAACTGCTTTTCTTTTTATGGTGATGAATATATGAAGGTTTCATTGAGTAGTTGCTAAAGCAGGGAATGGAACAGAAAGAGGAGAAGTTGTTCAGCACAAAGGAGATACATGTCTTGAGGAGGAGGGGAACACAAGTGCAGAAACAGAATCAAAAAAGAGCTGCCACTTAGAGAAATAAACATTTTTATAGCCTTTCTGATAGCTGACCTTTAGTTTACTCTGTGCTTACTCATAGGAACATTGTGTTTGTGTATTTGTTGTGCTGGTTTGCATTTTAGCTGTTTAGTTGTGACCTTTCCTTTTGATGAAGTCAGAAGATGCACTATTTGCACTGAATCTACAGAATATTTACATGCCTTGTTCTGGGAAATGGTTAAGTCCCAAATGTTACAGATGAAGGTGAGCACCGAGGACATCTATTAGTTTGAGACTAGTTTTAATATCAGTTCTGGTTTAAAGGGAAGCAATTCCTGGAAGGAGTCTTGGATGATGGTAAAGGAACATTCTGACTTTCTTACATAACATGCTTTTGTAAGAGAGTTTCAAGTTCAATGTTCTCTTGAAGAGGTGGTTTAATGGCCTCTAACAACAGGTACTTGTTCAATTACAGCAATATTTTCTGCCCTGAAGAATCTCCAGGAAAAAATCCATCGGCTGGAGTTGGAACGGCTTCAGGCAGAGGAGAATGTAAAACACCTCAGCAGGGAAACAGCAGACTACAAGAAAGTCCTCAGTGAACAAATGCAACACAAAGAGCATGACAGGACTGAAGTGACAAAGAAAAACCAAGGTTGTTTGCAAGCTTTACATAGATATTACAGAACACTGATATGGATGAAACTTGTTTATCACTGCATAAAAACTGTTTCAATTTACTTTGTTCAGCATCTTCTACTTGGCAGCAACACATGGAGTTATGAAGCAATCATTTGAAAAGCACACTTTGTTTTAGGGATTTTCATGTATACAGCAGTTCATTAGGCTTAATCTGCGAGTTTCTTTAGGTGGTGCTTTTCTTGTTTGTTTTGGAACTGTTGTGAAAACGGGGGGAAAAAAAGTAAATCCCAGGAACAGGCAGTGCATGATTCACTTTTCTGCCTTCTGTTACCTTCAGAACTGGCTTCTCAGCTGGCAGCTGCTGAGTCTCGGTGCAGCCTTCTAGAGAAACAGCTAGTCTACATGAGGAAGATGATCCAGCATGCAGAAAATGAGAAGTCACATCTCTTGGAGAAACAGGTGTGTTTTCAAGTTAAGTTATGAAAATCATGAGCTTTTTCATAGTTTTTTTATAGTTACTGTCATGATTTTTTATAGTTACTGTGATTTTAGTATCAGTGTGGATGTCTCTTTCAGCTGGCCTTTATATACTTAGGTGTGGATAATCTCCCTACTTTAAGTTTTCCAGTCTTAGCAGGACCCTGGTATTTTCTGTCTTTGTGCACCTATCTCTAAGGCAGAATCTAGCTCTGATACTAGGAAGAACTGTTTGCTTCTGCATGATTGACTCACTACAGTGGCTCATCCTCATCCCTCAATGTTAAACACATGTGCCACTGGGACAAAACCTCCCTTTTGTGTTAACACTCTTCAGATCTGTAGGGTTTTCTTTACTAGTACTACTCTTGTTAAGCTGGGGCTGAAATCTTGATTCTGTAGAAATAATAGTAGCATTTCTATTTTCCCACTATCAGTGACTGTGGGAGTTGGCCTATACCTAAAATGAGCTTGAATTTTGTTTTATAGGAGCATGGATCATCTGTGCATTGGTCTCTATGGCTGTCTTATTTTAGTATTAAAGATTTATTAAAGGGGGGGAAAAAATAAGCAAGCTATCTCTAATAGCTGAGCAATGAGGGGGTTACCACATTGGGTTCAGAGGGAGGAGAGGCTCTGCAGAGTTCTTTCATCTGGATCTGCTTGAGTGTCAGGTTCCCAGCATGGGTGGACCAGCAGTTTGCTCCCTGATCACAGCACCACTGAAATTGCACAGAGGAAACAGTAGTTCCTTTGGACTGTTTATGGGCTTCCTTTGTGCTGCAGGCACAAGGCTTACTGCAGATGGTTTTGTTTTATTGTGCTTATAATTGTTTTCCTTTTCTCACTTCAAGGGTTCGTTGGAGAGAGATCGGCTTCTTGATCAATCACACGTTCAGTCTAAGTTGGAAAAGCTGGATATGCTGGAAAAAGAGTACAGCAGACTTACTAAGATGCAGTCCATAGCAGAGGTCTGTCATTTGTATTGAATACAACAGATTTAGCTTGTTTGTTGCAGCCAGCACTTCATAGCTGTGTCAGTGACAGAGCTGAGCAACCTTTGTGCTGCACACAAAGGTGGCAACTAAACATCTCTTTAAAGCTGAATTGTTGTGAGAACTTGAAGTTATTAAGGAAAGCCTGCATGGCCAGGTGGGCTTTAGGTCACTACACACTGCAAGAGTTAAGTTTTGTTAAGCTTTGAAGGTATCTGTTGATGTTCCTCTTTAGTGGTTGGTTGGTGTCTAGGCATGTAGGACTATGGGCATTCCTAAGCACTCTACTTCTGAGTTGCCTTGCATGATACTGAATGCTAGTGGTTATATTCTGCTCTGACCCAGATTTGGCTTGACTTGTGGAGATTTGGTGTGTTTGTGTTTTAGCCACTTGCCTTCCTTCTTAAACACAATTATTACTAATTATTTTGTGTCCAGAATTCTGGAGCTGGGCATTTCTAGGCATCTAGCACTGGCTGGCAGGGGGTTGGAATGAGTTTGCCTTCTCAGGATTCCTTGTGAATCAATAGCTTTTACAAGTTCAACAAGACTGTGTTTGGTCATATTATTCTGTGGTGGGTTGACCCTGGCTGGATACCAGGTGCCCACCAAAATGCTCTGTCACTGCCCTCAGCTGGACAGGGGAGAGAAAATACAACAAAAGGCTTATAGGTCGAGATAAGGACAGAGAGAGATCACTCACCAGTTAGTGACATGGGCAAAACAGATTCAACTCAGGGAAACTTAATTTATCACCAATCAGATCAGAGTAGGATAATGAGAAATAAAAACTGAATCTTAAAGTACCTTTTCCTCACCCCTCTGTTCTTCCTGCACTCAACTTCACTCCTGATTTCTCTACCTCCTCCGTCCAGCAGCACAGGGGGAAAAGGAATGGGGGCTGTGGTCAGGTCACCACATGTTGTCTCTGCTGCTCCTTCCTCCTCAGGGGAGAACTCCTCATACTGTTTCCCTGCTCCAGCGTGGGGTCCCTCACACAGGAGACAGCCCCCCATGAACTTCTCCCATGTGGGTCCCTTCCATGGGGTGCAGTCCTTCAGGAACAGACTGCTCTAGCGTGGGTCCCCTGCGGGGTCACAAGTCCTGCAGCAAACCTGCTCCAGTGCAGGCTTCCCACAGGGTCACAGCCCCCTTCAGGCATCCCCCTGCTCCGGCATGGAGTCCTCCACAGGCTGCAGCTGGATATCTGCTCCACCATGGACCTCCATGGGCTGCAGATGGATACCTGCTCCTCCATGGCTGCAGGGGCACAGCCTGCCTCACCACGATCTGCACCCCAGGCTGAAAGGAATCTGCTCTGGTGCCTGAAGCACCTGCTCCCCTCCTTCTGCACTGACCCTGGTGTCTGCAGGGATGTTGCTCTCACATATTCTCATTCCTCTCTCTGGATGCTGTTGCTCTTGCACGGTAACATTTTCCCCTTCTTAATTATGCTGTCCCAGAGGTGCTACCACCATCACTGATGGGCTCAGCCTTGGCCAGCGGTGGGTAGGTCTTGGATCTGGCTGACATTGGCTCTACGAGACATGGAGAAGGCTTCTGGCAGCTTCTCACATAAGCCACTTCTGTGGCCTTCCCGCCTCCACCACCTCCAACCTTGCCAGGCAAACCCAATATATCTTTCTGTGTACCATCTGTGGTGTTGGCTTCTGAAGTCTTGCCCACATACCTCTTTCTGCTGCTGTAGAGAGACTGCAAGACTTCCAAGTCTGGGAACTATGGAGGGCTTAACCAGGGAGAGGCTTCTACCCACAAGTTTCTTCCCTGCCCTCCAAAAGGAGCAGATAGTACATGACTAGATAGTGGTATATCAGAACCATATTGCTGCCCTGCACACCAGCCAGTTGCTGAAGTAGATGGTGTTTTTCCAGATGTTTGACAGTGAATCCTTAGCTAGTTGTTTTGCTGCAGGACATTTAGATGCTACAACTATTTCTTGCAAGCCTCTGACCCAAGGCAGCTGTAACAAGCTGTTTAAAATCTTGACACCCCATTGTGGTGAGCTGCAGTTGTGGAGTACAAGTGCCTGCATTGTATGCTTGGGCCAAGCTCTTGCAGAAATGAGTGTCTCTGGGGTTTTGTTCACTGCAAATAGCATTGGGTTCCTCCAGGGTCAGTGTTGGAATAACTGGTTCAGCAACCGGAATTCCTTTCTGAAGGGCTTTTGCCAAGTTATTTGACTGGTAGCAGCTGGAGTTTGGTGGGGCTGGATGGTTTGTCATCTTGTGCCTTGCTGGTGAAAACCATTTCAGCCTAACAGCTCTTTTTCTGGATCAAACTAGATGTCTTTGTTTCATTGATAACTTTAGGAATTAGTGGCTGTTACAGTTAAATCTGATATAGTGGAATTTGGTCTTAAATTCACACAATTTTGAAGCAATTCTAGGAACTGAGACATGTGGGTTTAGCTGTGACTAAAGGTCATTTTCTTTGATCATTATACTGTCTTGAGCACTTCCTGATCGACGGGTTTGTGCTTACAGCCTATATTCCTATGTGAGCACCCATGTGCTGAGTGTTACCTTATAATCCCAAGAGTGACTGTAAACTCAAAGCAGTTGCATCTATTGCCTCTTTGATCTGTGCTGTGGTGGTGGCAAGACCAAAGGAACATTTCCAAGTTGAATTTGAACGAAGAAACAGATAAGAAAGACTATTTCTATGCAAGGTGTGCTGAAATGGATGGGAAGTGGTGAGGTGGCTGCACGTGAGCAAGCAAGGATTTAACTGCCTCTGATTTCAGACACTCTGCCAGAGCACACGTTGTACGTAGGTCTTATTGAGAGTAATGTCTGCAGAGCCACTACTTGGCCCTATAAGTATTACCTTCAAGCAGTTTGCCAGTGGTACTGTTGCCTGTGACAAGGAAGTGAATGAAGTACTCAATTGGAGCACTTGCCTCAAAAGCAGTTTCTAGTGTATGTTTATTGCAGCCATCGTTCCGCAGTGCAGTCTCTGGGTAGCTGAATGAGGAGACCTGAACATGTCTATGTCTGAAGTTGGAATAAGGGAACAGGGGTTTTCCCTAAAAGCACAGTTTGGGCTCTGGTCTCATGTGGCCAGATGAGCAGAATTTGGATGTATGTGTAGATGATGCTTCTTGAAGAACTGTAGTTGGTAGTAACAGATCTTAATGCTAAAACCCCTCACCATTCTGTGAGCAGCAGAAGTGATGAACCCTCACATCATGCTGTGGCTGTACACTACCTATGTAGGGGATTGGGAAGTCAAAAGTATTCCTTATGTTCAACAGAAAAAGTTGGTTACTTTATGTAGTGTCTTTGTCCTAAGTGTTTTATCCAGGGTTTTGCCTTTGGCACCTTTGTGTAACAGCTGGTTACATTAATCTTGAAGTTAATGCTTAGGTAAAGCAGAATTGAAATATTTACCAACCCCAGTGTAGTTACAAACAGAAGTATACAAATATAGCTGTTGCTTTGAGTTGTGTGCTTCTCTGCCTTGAGTTTGATTAGTGGGTCTGTGAATAATTGGTCTTCGCAGGACAAGAAGAGTTATTGTTTTGTGTCCTGGAGCTTTGGATCATCTTTTCATTCCATTGTATAAAATCAGACAGTTATCAAATAACTTTCACATTGGGAGTTTAAGTGTATCCTGTTTAAACAAGGTTTTCATCTTGCTGGAGGATTTACAAAGAAGCATGTGCCTTTTCCTTAGCTCTTTGAAAGGGACTTTCAAAAAAGTTCTTACATCTTTTTACTGTAAAAAGGTGGAATCACTTCAATTTTGATTGAAGGTATCTCACGGGCATCATACAAAGTTTCCTCCTTCTTCTTTATTAGAAGGTGGCTAGATGTTCCAAAATTCCTTTCTTCTAAGAGCTTAAGTTACAGATACCAACAAAAATACCATTAGTGGTCTAAATAAAGCAAGCCTTCCCTCAGCTTGTAATGGTACCTGATAGACCTTTGTTAGCCCTTTTGCAGTGTAAAATCTTTCAGTATAATGTACACAAAACAACCTATTTTCTACATTTTTCTTTAAAACTGAAGAGACAGACAGCCTTGTATGTATTACTCTCCCTTGTAGGCTGTAACTTAGATTCAGATACCAGTTGTGGAAGTAAAAATAGAAAAAGCAATTCAGTTTAAGCCTAAGCACTTGACTGCTGTGTTTATGCCTGTCCAGGTGAAACATCAGCAATCATTGTGATGCTGAAGTCTTCAGTTAGCTTTAAGTTGTTAAGTTGAACTCGTATACTTTTGTTCAAGCTCTTAGTATTGTAGGTTTCAGGGGGAAAAAAGAATTATTTCATTAGTAACACTATTATTTCTATTCAACTTTGACCAGAAAAAAATGAAAGAGCTGGAACAGAAGCTTCAGGAGGAAGAACACGCGAGGAAGCTTGTTCAGGAAAAAGCAGCTGAGGTAAGCAGCAGGAAATCTCTTTTGTACTGGTGTGTGCTGTAATTAGCTCTTCCTTTCCAGCAGCTTTTCAAGTAACTTGCTGAAAGTGCCTTCCATAGATGGAGTGTTGAAAACCTTGGGTTAGCTTTCTTGGTTTGGTTTGGGGTTTTTCTGTTTGTTTTTCCCTCCCATCTGAGGTGCTGAATGCTCTGAAGTTCTTTGAGCTTTCTCAAAGGAAACCTTTTTCTAACAGCACTTGTACTGAACCCGTTACTAGAGCAGGTTGCTCCAAGCCCCTGTGTCCCACCTGGCCTTGAACACTGCCAGGGATGGGGCAGCCACAGCTTCTCTGGGCACCCTGTGCCAGCACCTCAGCACCCTCACAAGTGAAGAGCTTCTTCCTAATATCTAATCTGAATCTCCCCTCTGTCAGTTTAAAGCCATTCCCCCTTGTCCTGTCCCTATGTGTCTTTGTAAAAAGTCCCTCTCCAGCTTTCTTGTAGGCCCCCTTAGGGTATTGGAGGGTAGGGGACGATTTCTAAAGCCATGCCATAGCTTCCTCTTGGAAGGAACAGCAAAATGTACAGAACTTACTGCTGACAGTGAGAATCCTGACCTTGACTTTTCCAATAGATGGTTTGTTTGGTTTGGGGTGTTTTGGTGTGGGATTTCTTTATTTTTTTTTGTGGGGGGGGTGGGTGGGGTGGAGGTTCTTTGTTTTTTGTTTTTGGGTTGTTTTTTCTTAACTGTCAAATTTAATAGAAGGATTAAGTCTATTAACTATATGCCACAGGATCAACTGAGCAGGATAGGGTGCCTTGACTTTCCTGATACTTTGTCAAATGTAAGGCATAGCTGATGTTTTGGCACTTGCCTGCATGGGAATAATGCAGTAAGATTAATTCTCTTAACTTACTAGGATTAGTGATGAGCAGTGCTACCAGAGGAAGTACTGTTTTAATTATCCTTGAACTGCAAAAGCATCCTAGAAACTTGCAGCCCTTGCTTTTAGAGAGCCTGTATTTTAAATAACATCGTTTTGCAATTCTCAGCTTATTCTGCCTCTGATTATTTAGTAACGTCATTTCAGTAACTCCCCTTACTTCCTCACTTAAGCTTCAGACAGGCCTGGAAACCAACAGACGACTGATTCAAGCAGCATCACCATTACTTTCTCCAAAAGCAAGAAAACCCAGGAAGAAAACTAAGCAGCCAGAGAAGGTAACATGGGGGGGTTAGAAGGGCAATTACTGAGGAGTTAAATAAGGGTGTGTGCATGCAGTCAGGATGTAGGTTGCCTTTTTTGTTACAAAACAAAGGGAAAATAGGTCTGCTGTAATGTCAACTTAATAAAGATTTCTCTCTCCTTTCTTTCCAGAAATGCTCTCTTGCAAGCCACCTCACTGCACAGCCCCATTACAGACTGCGTCTGGGTGATGTGCCCTTTGTAGCTGGGAAGGTGAGCTGCTTAATCCCAAAGCTCAGGAGCTGCAGCTCCTTCAATGGTTTTGGCTTGGAGCACTCCTGACACCCAGTGGTCAGAGCGCTTAATGTTCTGTGACTCCTTTAGTTTGTCTTCAAAAGGCTTGTTGAATATCAATAACTTGCTGAACTGGCACTTCCAAAAATGGGTCCTCTCTGCTGCTTGTCAAGCTGTTCTTGTTAGTGCATATTCATTCAAACAAAAAATGCATTATTGGCTGCAGAAAAAGTCAGTTCTAAAATGTTCTCTGTTTTATCAAGTAGGTTGTTGACAGTGCAATTTAAAAGAACTCTCTTTACTTTTCCTTCCAGTCTACCAGCCCCAGTCATTCTGTTGGTGCCAACGTGCAACATGTCCTGCACCTGATGAAGCAACACACGAAAGCTCTGTGTAACAGTCGGGTGGTAAATGATACTCCACTAGCAAAACCCATCGGTACTGGTCATCCTGCCAGCAAAAGCAGGAAGTCATCTCTGCCAAAGGACTCTTCTTCATCCCAGGAAGAGCTCTCAGAAGTGTTGCTGACTTTACAAGATGAATTTGGACAGATGAGTTTGTGAGTTGGGCATATTCTCCATCACAGATGATCAATGTAGATGCTTTATATTTTTGCATTTTGCTTTAAAGTTGGAAGAATTTGCCTGAGAAAGGCGTTAGTTTTAGGAAGTCTCTGGTATATCATCCCTTTGTTCTACTGGCTGTGGAGCCTGTCATTTCCCCTTGTACTTAGAGAGGTCTGGACTCCATACCTGTGCTTATATGCAGCAGTACTGAATTCGTAAGTGGTAGAAGTGTGTGTGCTCCTGATGCAACACTAGGACAGCTTTACTAGTCACTTTGCTTGTCCTGGTTAACAGAACATGAATTGTTAGCCTACTGCACAACTGCAGTAGATACAGCTCACAAAATAGTAACTGAATGAGTGCTGAGATCATGCTCTTAAGCAGTTATTTGGTCATTTTGAATGTGTGATTTGAAGCTACTTACGTTACTGAGGCTTCACGCTGCAGCAGCCTGCCACCAGGATGTGCTACTCTAATAATGCTGATGACCAGCACTACTGTTGTTACTGGTTGGCCATGGCACGTTGCACATGGCTGGCTGCTGATGCTGTAGTGTCCTTGTGTTATTTCTGAGCTGGGGTACAAGCATTAGAAGCCAAGGGGTCTGACACAAGCTTTGTTCTATCTGAATTCCATGCTAGTGATCACCAGCAGCTGTCAAAGCTTGTCCAGGAAGCCCCAACCACTGCAGTGAGGGAAGAACTGGAGAGGGAACTTGAGGCACTGGTGGGAAAGATGGAAGCAAAGGCAGACCAGATCAGCAAAGTCCGGAGGCATCGGTTGCAGGTGAATTCCTCTTGACTGTGTTCATGCTTCCGTGGAGCTGCTGTCTTAAGTTTTCTTATGTTATATCCTAATCTAGAAGCAATTGAATAAAGCAGAAATAACTACTGTAGAGCAGTAGTACCTAGCTCTAGCTTTGATGTCCCAAAGTTAGTCTGTGTATCTCCATCTTTCCATCCCAGTATTTCTGCGTTATTCTTTCTGTCTTACTATGTCACCCTTCTGCCCTCTCTTCATCCTGTCCTGGGCAGAGCTTTCCCATCTGTTCCTCCATTGCATTTTACACTCCCCTCATCCCTTGGATCTTTTAACAGTTCTCCTTTGCTTGCAGTAAATGAACTATTTATGATTTGATTTGCACTTTATAAAACCTGAAGTATCTGTTTCATAGAACCAGAGAATGGTTTGGGTTGGAAAAGACCTTAAAGATCATCTGGTTCCAGCCCCCTGCCATGGGCAGGGACACCTTCCACTAGATCAGGTTGCTCAAAGCTCCTTTCAAAATGTTTTGAATAGCATGGCCTGTTTGTCCAAAGCTATAAAACCTGTTGATTCCTTATTTTCCCTAGTTTTCATTCATTTTAGTGAATCTCTTAAGAGCTTAACCTCATGTGCTTCATCTGGTTAAGCTCATATGAACCAAGATTCACCCTCACTTGACGTAACTTACACACAAAATATGTACTGGGAGCACTGCTGCTGACATCCAGAATGGACACATGAAACGTTTTCAGTTAGAAGCATTACTCTCCTTTGATCTCTTAGGATCTTCAGAGGAGCTGTTGCAGAGAAACAGATGTGCAGGAGTTCCTGACAGTAACAGGTCTGCATAGACTGAGGCTCCTCAGTAGCTATTGGTAAAGGGTTTAGGAGTTGGGATTTAGGAATATTGCCACGTGCTGTAAACTAGGGGGAGGGAGCTCCACTATGTGAGGAGAGGAGCTCGAGGAGCCACCGCTTTGCAGTTTAAGAGGATGAATGAGTCTGCACCTTAAACTGTCCAGTTCCCTGTTCAGGCCTGTGCCAGTTCAGTCTTCATTGCTGAGTACTGAGTGTCACAAGCTGTGATCTCTAGTGCTGTGTGGATACCAGCTCTTCACCTCTGCAGTTAGGGTATTCTTTTAAAGCTACATCTCTGACAGTGACCAGCTATTAAAATCACTATGTGCGTATGCAGAAAAACTTGTTTTCTGTTTGTTTTGGTTTGGAGTCACTGGATGGCAGCAGTGACAAGTCAACTTTTTGTTGTATATAACTTTTTCTATTACATTCATAATAGAGATGTTCTCCCATACTGAACTTGTTCTTAAAGAGAGAACCTAGAGTTCAGAGACTGTAAGCTGAACACAGTTCTAAAGATGGGAATACAGCAAAGCTGTGTAAGGAAAGTAAAGTACTTATGAGTCAGGGTGACTGGAAGCATCCATCTGCTGAGCTGGGTGAGATAAGCAGTGGGCTATTTCAGCTGTCTGGAAGAATTGCCCTACATAAACTGAAACAAGGTCACTGCTTAATGTTTTTCTTTGGGCTTCTCTTTCAGCTTGAGAGACTTAAGAGAGAATGCAAGTCCAGAAAGACTTCTGCTAAACAAGGAAAAGACAGGTTCCCTGTTAGTGAGGTTAAAGTAACAACTACAGTAACCACAAAAGGCAAGAATGCTGGTCCCATCAAAGTGAAACCTGGAGAGAAGAGTCGGAAGAACCTTCAGTTGCTGAGAGACATGCAGACCATACAGACTTCACTACAGAAAGATGATATCAGCTGGGACTACTGACTGTTCTGCAGGAGAGGTTCTTGAACCATCCCTGTCAAACCCTCTCACATTCTGGATATAAAGCAGCTGCCTTTCTTGCTGTGTGAAAGAGACTACTGTACGCTAAGTGCACTTTTGAAACCCTTAACTCTCCATCCCTGTGTCTGATGTATATATCATGGTCTAGCTTAAATCACACTCCATTTTTAAGGTACCCAGCCACTGAATCTAACCGTAGGTCTCCACCAGTTCCCTTCATGCCATGGTTCCAGCAGTCCCTCCCCTTTCTTTCAGCACACCAAGCACTGCACGTTTATGTGGGATGGTGAATGACAAATGCCAGGGTGACTTCACACGATGATCGGACTGTGCAGTGACAGGCTTCTCAGGATGCATCTTGTTGGGAAATGATGCTGTGACCCTGAGCCCTAAGGGCTTTAGCCAGCTCTGTTCTGCAGGCAGCTCAAACTCTTGAGTGTGTGAGGGAGAACAGGCAAACCCTTCTGAAAGTGTTCTGTGGAGCTCTGTTCAAAAAGCTTTCCTAGTTCATGTTCTCCTGTGTTGCATTAGTTAGCATTAATGGCAGTGGATGTCTTGAGTACTCAGAAAAGGAGCAAAGTAACCTTCTGAATTATGTTACTTAATGATTGAATTCTTTTCAAGTCTGAAGAGAAAAATTTTTTTACATGAACCCTTCTTTATGGAAAAAAGCTATAGGATAGGGGATAATACCCTGTCTCCTTGTTCACAGCTTTGGGTGGTAAAGGAGCAAGATAAGCCACAAGTGTTTTAAACTGCAAGTGCCTCAATCATGCCATTCAGTCCTGGCATCTTGCTTTTAACCTGAACTATGTGCTTTGAGCTATCTACTCTGGTAATGGTGCAGGTAGTTTTGCACTCTGACTTGCACAGCTGAGTGAATGTTATTTATTATGTTAATAATTTAAAGAATTTCCTATTAATGGAATGTAACAAGACACAGATTACTCATTTATACATTTGACAAATAATAAAGCCAGCTTGCCTGTTGGATGAGTTGTGGGAAAGCTGCACTTCCCTCTCCCTCAGTGTCTGCTGCAGCACCGTGCCCCATGCAGCATGCTCTGTGTGGTGATGTGACATCTCCCTGGTCAGGGTGGTGAATATGAGCTGCTGCCAAGCTGCAGGTAAGGTGAGGGTCAGAGCTGTCCACCTTTGCTTGCAGCTGAACAGGTTGGGAACTCTGCAGGGTCAATGCAGACGCAAGAAGGTTTGGCTGGGAAGGGAGAAGTTGGCTGTTAACCAGGCCTGGAGTCATTCCCCCCTTAACTTCATCCCAAAGGAGTAACTACTTGGAGAACAGCATCTGAAACTACAATTTTGCTTGGGAAGGGTCCCTTGGGATCATCTTGCTCAGATACGGGTTAACTTCAACATGTCCTCAGGCTGTCCTCATGCAGCTCCTCACTTATGGAGGGCTTTGGAGGTAGTTTGGACTCCATATGCCCAAGTTGGAATTAAATCTACTAGGGCTGAGAGCATCAAGGAGCAGGCATTGAGTTGCTCCCAAATCATCCCAGTGAATTTGGACTTGGAGTTACTTGCATAGAAAACTGTGAATGTTTACGGAGCACTCACTGTGCAGAAATGGTTTGATTCTTTCTTACTGTGGAAGTATTTCCGTAATGCTGAGCAGCTGAGCACTGTGGCTGTATTAGCACTGGGCTGCACAGGAGAAACTTGTCCAGGGCTGAGTTTTGTTTTCCTTTCATTCTCAATGGAGAGCTTGGTCATGAGCATTGTGCAAGAGCATCTACAGAAGAGAGAAAGAGATCTGGATTTGACAAACTAAACGTTCAGTGCTATTTTATTCACGTTTGCATGTCCTCCACATAGTTAAAACCACATAGTTAAAAACCAGAGCACAGGAACTTTACCCACTTATCAATCTTTATTAGTGTTAAGGAATCCAAACAGCCTTCATCAAGAAACAAAATATACACACAGAGTCAGTTTGCTAACACAGAATAATGTTCTGAACCGTCTTCTGTAGTGATTGTACATACAAGCATTCTGCCCTTTAACCTTACAACAACTCCAGGTCCTTCAGAAGGTCTTTTGTGTGGATTCTTTGCACTGTTGAACAATAACATAGATCCCAGGCCATCCCCTAACAAATGCAGTGATCTGTACAGCCTGTGATTCCTCCTGTCAGAAGGTGGCTGTGGATGTCTCTTGTAAGCACGGAGACACTGACTGCAGTAGAGCAGGTGGAAATGGAGACTGAAGGGGAATGGCTTTTGAAAGGCTGTTTCTTACGTGTAAGTTGGTCTGCTCTTGTACTCCCTCAGAAAATACTTCCCTGGTGTGGAAGAGAAGCTGAGTGAAGCAACGTGCTGATGAGTGTATTACACATGGTGACCACACTGTGGGATCTTGTCATGAAAGAGCCACACAAGAACCTGGACCAAGCAGTGCCCCTCAGCCTGGAGGAAAGATCCTCACACACACATAACTTCCTTTGCTGTCAGCCGTATCTTCTACAACCTTGTACTTACCTGTCTGCAAGATCAGTGGGGCAGGTGTGGTTTCACCTACTTAGTTTTTATCTCCACTTCTATATAGCAAAACCGTGTATTAAAAATGAATTTGGACTTAAGTGTAGTCAGATGCCACTAACTCTCAAGTATGCTATGAGGAAAGAGACCAAAACCTACGGCTCAGAAACTGGCTGTTTGTTCTGAATAACCTTAAATAGCAGTTGCAATGCAGGCAGAAAGGCTTCTTTGGTTGATGCACAGTTGCTTCCATCAGTTAACAAAACACTGAAATAAAAGTACACCACTAAGATCCTCCACAGAAGCATTAAAAGCACTAATTACGCTTACCCAAGCGGAATGAAATGACTGATCCCAGCAGCTTGCACATGCCCCTTGGTCTTGCACTACCTTTCCCCTGTGAGTCTGAGGCACTGGAGAACAGAGGAGCTGCAGAAACCCTGGGGAAGTCATGCTTTGCTCCCCTCTGTCAGAGAGGGGCTGAAGTTGCATCCTGCACACCCAGTGTAAACCGTAAGAGAGACTCTAAAGTTGCAGAGATGGAAGTAAACTTTGTCCTACAAAGTGAAGTCCTGTAGGTTGCTCCTCTACCACCGTGTTCTACTGGTAGAAGCTGCCATTTCTTTAGATAAGGCATCATTTACATGGCTTCCTATGGTCCAGATCAAAGGGAAGGGGAAAAAAGCAAGAAGGACGGTGATATGTTTCAGTGGCTGTCACTGCTTGTCTCTATGTTTCAGTGGCTGTCACTGCTTGTCTCTGTTGGCAAACGCTCTAATGAACACTGCTGTGCAGGCACTAACAGTGGAGGGTTCCTCACTTCATGGCTGTTCTTTAGGCTCCAATAGTCAGAGCTGGTATTTCCTTTTAGCAAAGGGGAGAGTTTTCCCTCCACAGTACTTCATTCTAGTGCACAGTCTCTCTTCAAAGCCAGATGATTTCCACATAAGTGAACCAAGACTGAGCTCTAGATTTCTTTTAGGTGGCAAGTGCAATGACCTCCTATTATAATCTAGCCACTGAGAAGGTTAATTGCATAGGGGGCCTGTTTGTTTCTTTTTGCTTAAGCTTCCTCTAGTGCTACAGTACTAATAAATTACCCTGGAGAGAAATAAATAAATAGGTTGGCATCTCCCAGACACCACACTGGAAACCAGAGGGGTTTGAAAAGCTGCCCCTGTGGTCCTGGGAAGGTACTTGGCACTAATAGTCCATATCATACAACTGTCTGTACAGGAGCGACGCACTGCGCGGGAGAGCCGGCTCTCTCCGAGGATGAGGTGGAACGGTTGGTGATTTCTCTCTGCAGCTCCTCCACTTTCTTCTGCAGCTCGGCCCGCTTGGCAAGAAGCTCCTTGTAGCGATTGTGGACAGGTTCCTGCAGGAAAACGTGCAGCTGAGTGAGGATGCTCACAGGGCTGGGGCACCTCTGCTATGGAGACAGGCTGAGAGAGAGATGGGGGTTCAGCCTGGAGAAGAGAAGGTTCTGGGGAGACCTTAGAGCAGCCTCCAGTGCCAAAAAGGGGCTTATGAGAAAGACAGGGACACATTTTTTAGCAGGGCCTGTAGTGACAGGACAAGGAGGAATGTCTTTAAACTGGCAGAGGGGAGATTTAGGTTAGATATGAAGAAGTTCTTCCCCATGAGGGTGCTGAGGCACTGGCACAGGGTGCCCAGAGAAGCTGTGGCTGCCCCCTCCCTCGCAGGGTTTCAGGCCACGGTGGAAACAGGGG